TTCTTCCAATCGTTCAACCCTCTTATTTAGCAACCTAATTTCTGATAATAGCTCTTTTTTAGTAGGGTTTGCTTTGGTAAAACGTGTATAAGTTGGAGCTAACTCTGAAGTTCATAAAGACAAGGAAGATTATAATGAAGACAAGGAAGACTGTAATGATAATGGTGAAGATAAGAAGGACTGTGATGATGATAATGGTGAAGATGAGGAAGCTGATTGCTCAAGAACTTGTAGAATATTAGTACATAATGAAGGATCTAGACGATCAGGACCAATTGCACTAGGGTTTAATGGCTAAATTCTAGTGGTCTTGAAGGCATTGTATATTGCAGTAGGCATATAGGCCGCAATATAGGATAGTTCAAATAATTCAGCAAATATGTACTTTGTTACAACCTTACCATTGTTGTTAGTTTGAAACCTCTTACACTCTTTATCATATGCTTTCTTTAATGTAGCAAATGGTAATTCAGCTGGCTATAAAATGTGAGTGGTATGGGAGGAAAGAGCATAAAGAAAGATATTATGCTCATGACAAAAGTTAATATTAATATAGTTGATATGACTTTTGTGACCATCTAGAATTAACAAAACAGGACATATAGGCAGGATAAAACTAACAAAATGCTTAATATATTTTTGAAATAGCCTTTTCTGCATGTATCCTGTTTTAGTAAATACTATGACAGAACTAGCGGGTGTACTATTTAAAAAACTCAAAATCATTCACTTTTCTTTAAAAATAAGTAATGGTGAGATGTATATCTCTACAGCTAATATAGTTGGGCATACTGAAATATGCTTATGAGAGCTGCTATATAAAACCTGATGGACTTGGTGTGCTCCTTTTTTTGCTATAACTTTTTGGAGCCTAGGTTTGATGATAAAGCCGGTTTTATTCTAAAAAAAAAAAAAGGCCAAAATACAAAATAATTTAAAAAAAAAAAAAGAAAAGCAAAAAAAAAAATAAAAAAAAAAATAAAAAAAAAAAAAAAGAGAATAAAATAAAATAAAATAAAAAAAAATAGCACCATATTTCAGATTCTGTTTGCAGTAAGTTCATATTCTTAAATAATTTTTTGAAGCTTGTTAAAGTGGTCATTAATGATAATAGGGTTTCTCTTCTGTGCACAGGTCTCATTTAGAGCTTGCAGAATATGAAACAAAAGTTCCGGGTGGTTTTCATGAAGAGCCGCCACCATTTTTGCCCTGGTCTACTTTTTTTAAAAAGATGGGTTATTTGTTCTAATGAACAATATCTATCACACACTGGCTTACACCAGACCTTGTTAACCCAAAACTGAGCCTCTGTATATTTAAACAATAACCAACTAGCTGTTCTTCTTTATGGTTGGTTAGGATCTTAGCATAGCCTAGGTGAGGAAGAGAACTATCATTTTTGATAGCACGTCTAAGAGTAGTTTCAGAAATATTATAGACTCACGCAATACTTCTGGTGCTTGGAATTTTAGAACTATTTGGGGTACCCTTAAGTATCTGAAAGGCATTATTAATAGCATTATGTCGGATATTATGATCACTGTACTTTGTTATAGTTTTATTTTAAAAAGTTTTTTGATAATAAACTAGTTTTTTTATCACAATACAAAGTTTAATCATTTATAATTATCGGGTTTAACATTTTTATAACTATCGGGTTCAATGTTTTTATAACTATTGGATTCAATATTTTTATTATATTTAACAAGCTGTTTTGAGATTGCTAAGTAGCATTACATGTGCTAATTTGTAAATATTTACATAATCAAAAACCATTGATCTGAATTAAAGTTTAATTTTATATTCTTTTTAAGATCACGCAATTAAAAAAAAAAAAAAAACTTTATTGCTTATTGCAATTATAATTTATATAGAACTTTATTAAAAATAACTTTATTTAAGTATGCATATCAGTTATTTAGTACGAAAAGCCGATTTCAACATGTTATAGTTACCTCTTTCAGAATCTATAAATCTATCTAGGCGAGAAAAGTAATATAGATCACTTAATTTTATGTTTCTTTTAAGATTGCGTAATTAAAAAAAAAAAACTTTATTGCTTATTGAAATTACAATTTATATAGAACTTTATTAGAAATAACTTTATTTAAGTATGTATATCAATTATTTAGTATGAAAAGCTGATTTCAACGTGTTATGGTTATCTCTTTCAGAACCTATAAATCTATCTAGGCGAGAAAAGTAATATAGATCACTTAAATAACAATATCTCACATTCTAGTGATTAGAATCATATGATTTTGGTTTTATTTAACTTGTCTCATCGAGATGAATCAAATGATACCAAAATCATGTGATTTCAATCACTAGAACATGAGATATCGTTAATACGTCAAATTGTGTACTGCATTAAAATAGGAATACTTACTTTATATTACAAAAATAATAATTTTTATTTTATATAGCAACAGTATTATAAGAGTATCTTATTAATCTAAACTATTTTTTTAGAATCTTTTTTAAAAATGATTTAAATATATTTTGATTAATAATATTTAATTTACAATATTTTTAAATTTCATTTTTTTTTTTTACTTGTATTTAACAGATAAAGATTATATTAATTGCAAAGATATCTTGTAATAATTTATATTTGTCAGTACTTGATTTATTAAAAAAAATTACAAGTTTTGTAGAGTATAACAAAAATATATATTTAATAAGATTAAATACAAATTTACAGAATTAGTTACAATCAATTTTTGATAACTCAACTCTTCTTAATAATCACTTGCACCAAAACTACACCAAAAAGTTTTAAAGACTAAAAGCCTCAAGATATTTGTGAATTCTATTAGGTGCTATTGTTGATGAAGGCTATGTACGTGAAATACCAAGAAGTAGTCATATATACACTAGTTTGTATCTTGGGTCAAGCTTTTCTTTTTTGATAGACTTTCTTGCATGTTTAACATCTAAGCCAAAAGATTTATTTTGGTAACAGTAGTGGTAAAAAACTCCTAACACAAGTGCTAGAAGCTGCTAGTATAATAAGCATCATTTGGAAATACTCTTTCTGGTTTAAGTACTCGCAAATATAAAATTTTTTTTTTCTTCGAACTTTTGGCCTTTTTTTCAACAAAAAGTAGAGAATTTGACATACCCCTTCAAAAGATTAATATTGTTAACTACTTCTATATCAAAAAACTATATAATGACGAAATAATATGTGTAAATAGATAGTGCTAGCAAATATTAGTAACTGGCAGATACTCTGATTAGATATCTTATGTCAGATTGTTTAGAGCATACAAATATATATAGTTGCCAAATAGTGACATATGAAGTTTAAAGTTCTTATACTTTTAAACGATGATATAGATTTAACTAAAAGAATTAAGCAAAGTATAATAAGATGTACAAATATTCTGTAGTTATTTGTATATAATTTTAGTCTTTAGTATAAGTTATAGTATATTTGTTTTTTCTTTTTTGTGTCAAGATTTTCACAACAATATAATAGGAGTAGTTCATTACTCTGTATAATTAGAAGTTTTTACCTGGTTAGCAGGTTTTCTTTTTTCTAGTAATAGTTTTTTTTAGATTTTATTTTTGTTTTTGTTTTTAGTTTTTTTTTATATTAGTACCTGTTTTTGTATATGTATTTGTTTTTTTATATCTCACTTTTATATATCTTTTTTTTTTCTTCTCTACAAGAAAGTATCATCAGATTGGTGATATTCTATTGTAAAGTAAGAATTTTGATGAGGCTGGCTATATACTAGTCATTGATTCTGGAGAAAAAAAGTCCAAAGCAAAATTTGAACTTCAGAAAAGGCCAAGTATAGCTACGGCAGGTCATATCTAAGTACACCATAGCAGTTAATAGTTTACTATAAACTTGTATATATAAAACTAGGTAAGGTTTTATCTTTGGTTAAGATAGTATAGCTGCAAAGATTACAACGTCTATGTAAAAATTTCTAGTTTTTCTCCAAATAAAATAGACCAGATTGTCTAAAAAAAAAAAAAAAAGAATTAATTACAATAAATAACATTAATTTTTAAAATTAATTCTTTATTTAATTATTTTAGTAAAGTTTTAAGTCTATTTGGAAATCTAGATTTAAGAATCTGTTTTTGCCTTTCAAGATCTTTTTTTGTTTGTTATTTGAGATACATATATATTAAAAATCTTTCTTTTCAGTAATAGTAGTAGTTAAGATATTATTTTAAATAATCAATTTTGATAAAAAAGAAAAAATATTATAGATATAAGTCTTAAAGATATTTTTATAAATATTTTTTCTTGTTTTAACCAATATCTCAATATATCAAATAAAACTTTAAATTTTTTAGTTACTTTATAAACAAATAAATATATAAGAAATTAGTGATAGTACCTGGGTTGGATATTACCCAGGTTATCTGTGGATACTCAGATATCCAGGTTGTAAACTCAGCTATCTGAATAAGTATATCCAGATAATACTCAGGTAGATATACCCGGATAATCTTCGGGTAACAAAAATTTAAATATTCATATAGCTAAATAAATATAAATAAATTAATAATAAACTTAATATTTTAATATACTTTACAAAAAGTTATTTTTAAAATATCATATTTTTCTTGAAGTTATGTATAGCCTAAAAAGGTTAAGCAATCAACCAAAATAAAGTAGTGCTTCGATAAAAGAAAACCTGTATGTTGTTTAATCGAATTATTCAAAGATAAGCTAACAATCATTTAATTTGTTTATATTCAATTTTTTGAAATGATTTAATTTATATTTTAATTGGTTATTCGGAGATAAACTAACACTAACTTAGTTTTTTATATGAATTACACTAATACGATCGAAGTTCAGATTTTTCTTCTCACATTGATGTAGGTTAATATAGTTTACAAGTATAATATTATTATTTTTATTACTTGAGAAATTCTGGTCAGGCAGTTAGATGTTTTTTTATTAATCTAAACTAATAGACTGAATTTCATGAAGCAAAGTCTTTTAATTTCTAAGGCTTTCTTGAAAGGCATTCTACTTATTCAGGTACTATAACTATGATTTCAAGTTCTTTAATTAATTTTCGAATCAGTTAAATTGTAAGACATTATAAAACTATGTTGAGTTTAAACCTATCAGTAACTTAACAAGTACAAGAGTAATTTGCAGCTGTAATAAATATGTACTAATCAGTTATCCAGTTTAAATTCTGAAATTAATATATTTTAGTGAATAGATTTACAAAACTTGTATTTCCGAATAATACAAAATTTTTAATTTATCAAAATTGGAATACTAATAGAAAGATTTATCTTTATATCAGAGGTTGTTATCAATATAATGCTAGAAACGACAGCCTTAGATAGACCCGGGTTTATATATTTATCGTAGACTTAATTATAATTTTAAAAAAATTACATAGCATTCATGCTAAATTTGTAAATCTTTAGGTCTAATGTGTGATGATCATATAGAACTTATTGATCAAACAATCAAAAACGATCTACATTATCAGAAACATATTCAAATTTTAATTTATTTTGTTAGAGCGGTATTAGAGCAGTATGACTGATAATGTTCAAAAAAAAAGATCGATAGTCTTACATTTTATATATTATTAATAGCCTAGTGCAATTTTTACATAAACACGACTATACCAAAATTACATCAACAGATTTTAATCTAAATTTTGTGAGTTTAGTGTTAATGACTTAAAAAATTTAAAATTTTTTTGTTTAAAATGGTTAACAATATGAAAGAGTTATTTAGCTATATTAATAATATTGAGACAGATGGTGCTGAAATTTGTAAATTCAATAAGGTTTTAACTCGAATAATTGTTGTAGATCTTTATATTTTGATTAAATATTAATTTTTGTTTTTAGATAATTATTTGATGGATATATCACATATCGATAAAAATCAGCATAAATAAACATATCGTAATCAGTTGAAGATAAAATAATCGGTTAGGCACAAATTCTTACATTTTAGCTATTTTCTTTTTTTAAGTTTTCTGTTCCAGTAACATCGTGCAGCTATCTAGTAAAGTAAAGTATTAACCTTACCTGAGTATATCGGGTAGGATTTTATACCCGGATAAATCTGTTGATCACTCAGGTAACCCACTGGGTATATCCGTCAGATAACCGAATAGTATTTTTTTAATCGGTACCATCATTATAAGAAATATTCTAATTCTAAAATATCTTTATTTACTATATAAAGATTTTTAATTTTTTTGACTTTTATTAACCTAATCTAATAATAATACTAAGCAATTCAGCATAGCAAGAGCTTGTATTTTTATGAAAAATTATAGATTATAAAATTTGTATACTATACAGTATGGACTATAGTACCTCAGATATAATATATTCTATAGCTAAAATTTAAATTAGTATCTGCATATTATATAAGAGGTGTATTTTATATAGAAATAATATATACTACATAGTTAATATCTAGATATTTCACTATGTAAAATATCTAGATATCTTGTATTCAACTGCGAAAAATTTTTATAGGAGTACTTTGATATAGAGATACTATGGTCTATGCTATATAGTAATTAGCTAATTGATATAGATCCCAATATAATTATTAACTAATCAAATTAATTAAAAATTCTATTAATATACAAAATATATTTATTATTAATGGATATAATTTTATTTTTTATATTATCAGTAGTACAATTAAAAAAATACTTTAAAAATTTAAAAAATTATTTATCTAAAAAATTTTTATATACAAAAATTTAATAAATATACAAAGAATTAATATATTTGTACCTGTAGGGTACAAACATATCTAGTATTTTTGTAGTACAAAAAAAGGGTTACAATAAGATCATATGCGCCAGAGATTAAATCATGCAGCAAATTATAGATGATAAATAAAATACGAGTAAACAATAGTTTAAATGAGTCAATAACTAAAGTATAAATAGAGGTAAAAAGCGAAATCAGGTGCATTTTTTTTTTTACCTTTCTTGAATCAAGGAACATATAACGAACACAAATAGTGTAAGAAAAGGGCAATTACCACACTTAAACACATTACACATTACATAGCATTAAAAAACTTGATTAGGTTTGTTTTTGTTTTCAGCAAGATACTCTATTTAATTTTTCATAATACGAAGTTCCTCTTTTTTTAACCAGTTCGTTCCAAAAATCGTCTTGTCAGATTTTTATATACCAAAATAGAAAGTAAGAATAATTCGAAAACTTCTGAACAGCAGTCTTCAAATAATAATAACATGTTAAAGTAAGTATAACCTTTAATTGCTTTGACTCGATTAGAGGTTTTATTTTTCTTATATTAAAATCAATTTTAATAAATTTTAACATAAGAAAAATAATATCAGTTCCAAACTCTAGATTCAATTATTGCATTATTATTGCTTCAATTAATCAAAACTAAAGTGATCAGGATTTGGCTATAACTATGGATCTGATAATTGAACCAATGTTAGTAAAGTAGGTTAACCTTTTTGTTTTTGCTTTGACCTGATATTATTAGTTTTTTAACTAACTAAAATTTAATTAAAGTGATCAAGGATTTGTTGAAACTATAGATGCACAAATAGTTAAACCAACGTCAGTAAAGTAGATTAACCTTTTTGTTTTTTGCTTGATACGGTATTATTGGTTTCTTTAATTAATCAGAATTTAATTAAAGTGATCAGGGCTTAATTGATACAGTGGATATGCCAATAGTTAGAAAAATATTTGGCAGTTAGGATGAATTAGACCATTTCATATCTTTCTACGCAAGGTCACAGAATTTCATTAGTGTTATATACGAGTCAGAATACGCTAATGGTGTCTGTTAAAATCAACATTATACTTGTGAACATCAGGGTTCTAATAATATGAAGAACAAGAGTAATATAGTTGAAAATCAACAGCAAACAAGAAGTAAACGTAGTGGGTGCTGTTGGCAGATTCGTGCTAGTTGTTCCAAGACAACTGGCATACTAAAAATTAATTCTCTTTGTTTAAATCATAATCACCAAATAAAAGATGAAACTAATAGGTTTGCCACTAAATATAGAACTTTTTCTGAGGATATGCTGAACGATATTAAATTTTGAACTGAAATGGGTAATATCAATATGAGAACTCAGTACCAAATATTAATGAAACGGTATTCTGATGCTTTTTTTTGCCTCAGGATCTCTCAAATGCTATTCAATCCTTCAAACAGCAAAATTATATCAAATGTAAGACAGCTGTTTTACTTAATCATCTTCTTGAATTAAAAGCTAAGGATACTAGGTGAATTGTTAATTGGAAAGTTGATTCAGCTAATAATTCACTTACCTCTCTATTCTGGATCTTACCTGATCAACACGACCTATATTTGCGATATCGAGATGTTGTTCAATATAACAACACTTATTTAACAAATAGGTTTAAAATAGCATTGGAATTTTTTGTGATAGTGGATAACAACAATCGGTTACGATTGGCAGGACAAACTCTTATGAATGACGAAATAGTAGAAAGCTATAAATGGGTTTTGCAAACTTTGATTACAAATACAAAAGTTGCACCTCTAACAATAATAACTGATAATGATCTAGCTATTAATGCAGCAATAGCTAATATCTTACCTAATACAACCCATATTTATTGTATATTCCATATTGAGCAGAACCTAATAAAAAATTTAAAGAGCAAACTGGGTGAACATTATCAAGAATTTTCACAAAATTGGTATCACATGCGTAACTCACTTTTATACCAACAATTTAACTATTTATGGAACAAACTTTTAATTAAATTTCTGGATGCTTCCCAATATCTTAATCATGCTTTTTTTAATGAAAAAGAGCACTGAGCTCTCTGTTATATATCTAAAATTTTTACTGCAGGAATGCAATCAACACAGAGAGTTGAAGAGCAAAATGGTATTATCAAAAATTCAGTAAATGGAAGTACTTCTTTAATTAATCTTGTAAAGTACATTGATGAGCAGACTAACCGCGCATCTACTTTTATTCAATATAAAAGTTGGGTTTATTCTATTATAGGATCTACGCTTATTCATGCTAGCTCTGAATTTTCACCAGACATTAACAAATGGATTATCTCTTATTTGACACCAACTTCTTTATCTATCCAATATCAAGAGATTGCCCAAGCTATGTGGTATACAGCATGACTTATTAATTTTCAAGACTTGGAATTTAATTCAATTAAACAATTTGATCAGATCGAACAATCTAGTTTGACTGGACAATCCAATTTGACAGAACAATCAGATACTATTGAGACTTGTAATGCCTTTACTGAAGATATAGTGGATGCATCTGCTATATTAATTAAAGAATTAGTACTATTTACGGAAATCAAATCTATTCTTGAAGTTTGGAAAGTTACATGGCATAGATGCAAAGCAAAAAATTATGTTATATTGTTTAAAAATAATACATATCTATGCACATGTCTTAATTTAATTCAATGTGGTTTTGTTTGCAGACACTTTTTTCAGGTTATGAAAGTGTCTAATTATGCAGCATTTCACATTATGCTTATATCGAAAAGATGGTACATTGATGAAAAACAAATTGAGCCAGAATCAGAAATGCGGTTACATCCTTTTATTATTGGTTTGAGTGATAATGTAAACTTGGAAGCTTCTGTTGATGTTGAACAAGCGTTTCCTAATTCGTCATTTTATTTACCAAATATCTCTTTTAATGAAGCTCATATTAAAATTAGTTATTGTAAAGCATATACAACTATGAATGGATTGTCAAAAAAAGCTATTCAAGCAGGATTAGATGCTGGTTCTAATGCAATTAAAGAGCTCGAAGACTTTATAAGTGGCTTTATCATTAAATATACACCCAAAAAGAAAGATAAAAAGAAGAAAAGGCAAGACAATGAGAGTGATGATACTTCAAACTATAGTTCTAGCGATGAAAACTTTATTTTAGTTGAAAATCTGATAGTTCATTCAAAAAGAGTGCTCCAAGAAAAAAGTATTTGAAAGGTTTACATGAATTAGAGAGCAAAAGCAATTCTAGTGCTAAGCATTTGCAAATACAGAAGACTAGAAAACCAACACAATGTTAGCAATGTCAAAATATTGGATATAACAAAGCTAGTTGTGAGGCGTGGCATAAACGACAAGGCATTACATATTCATATTAACTAACGAACTTATGCCTCTGTCACTTGCAATAATTATTAATCAAACTCTGGAAATTCTGAACTATACAGTAACTGCTGAATTTATTATAACACAAATTCATTAGAATTTAATTAGATTTGCGTAGTAGAGTAAAACACAATATATATATTTATATGTTCATATACTAAGATAGTATGTATGGTTGGTTAAGAACCTCTTTTAACGGTTAGGGTTAGAGTGGATGTATATATTGTTTTCTATTAGGATAGGATTATAGATATAAAAATTTTTCTTTTAGAATTTGTTTACAAACCATATACATTATTTTAATTTAATATGCACGTACATGTTTATTTTGCTAACTTTATTGACCATATCATAACAATTGAATTGAGTTATATTGTTTAATGGTAAGTTTTGTATAAATTTCTAATACTAAACTTTAGTTAGATAAAAGTCAATTCGCAATTAAGATATGATAACAGTACATAATGGTAATAATTATGATAAGTATACTTTTTCATTCAAATAACAGCGCATATCATACAAGTTACTAATAGAAAATACTCTTGTTTGTAGTTATATATGAAGTTGAAGAAGTCTTTAAGCAACTAACAAATTGAAGTATTATCGTTGTGACAAAAAGTCATGGTATTAATTGGAGAACAAGTTTTATGTATATACGTACAGTACATATGATAGTTAAAAATTCATTTAAGTATGGATATGTAAGTACCCAAACGATATCAAACGATATTGATATACCGATCTTGCATTTTGTAACGAATACACGATTATACAATAAGTATATTTATTTATAATAAATGTTACATATAAATGTTATACAATAAATATTATATGCAATAGAC